CCCCTCTTCCCCTCCCTCTCTCCATCTAATCAGCAGCGGAAAGCAGCATGAATCAGTAAGCATCGCGAAGATCACGCCATAGACGATGACGTCAACCTACGCTCTGATTCGACGCGCAGCGATAAACTGGGGTGCAGAGCACACGGAGAACCCACGGACGATGATGGCGTCTCCTGGACGACCATCCATGATTCCAACAGCATGCTAGCAATTGAAGATGGCATCAACATGGGCTCTGCCTAAATCGTCTGTTGAGACACTCGGTTCCTCATGCATCACTCTGTTCTCTCTCTCCCTCTCTCCTTCTCCGCCATAACATGCAATCAGGAGATCGCATAATTTTGGAACCCCCTGCGTGTCACATATGTGACGAACTACTTCCTGAACCCGTGCTATCTTTCGTACCCTTTCTTTTGCTTATATCATACCAACCCCATAAAAACCCCATTTCGCTTTCTTGATTTCGGGTGCCGCGTTTTTGGCCCCCATCTTCCAGAAACTTTTTTGTGATTCTTCGGTTTTGCTTTCTTTTTTTTTTGCACGTCGGGAAAGGCATAGGAAACTACATGCGCCTTAGCGAGCGCACTGCGAATTGGGCCCGACAGTTGGGAATTCCGAGATAGGCGGATCTTCGACGTGTCCTTTTTGTGTGTGAATGTTCTCGGTCACGTTGGGGAAAACTCTCGGAATTTTGTGGGGATACGAATAGGCGTAGGACCTTCTTTTCCCGCGTCGCTCTTTCGCGCGCGGATATGGTGATTTCAATTTTGAATTGGTAGGCAAGCTGTAACTGTTTTGGGGCCTTTTTCTCCTTTTTGTTGACGACGACGCGCATGCAAAAGTTTTCTCCTCTTTGTCCCCCGCATCACGCCCTCCCGCGCTCCCTTCCCCTTCTCCCTCCTCTTTCTCTCTCCTCGTAACTGTTTTCTCTCTCTCTCTCTCCCGCTTTGCTTTTGGCGCGCCCCTTTTCCCTTTCTTGATCATCTGAATCTTGGACTCGTCTTGCGCTACTTCTCGCGCCTTTTCTCTTCTCACCCTCTGGCTCCAGCACCCGACGCCCGGTCGATCCTCCAATAACTCCCGCTCACCAATCAGGTACGTGGATCAATAGGATCTTCCCATTGCGCGACGAATCAAATTGGTTGAACCTTGAGTCTCGAAGGATCAACATGGCTTCCACGAAGCGCTCTTCTCAAAGTCTTCTCCTCCTGCTTCTTTCCCTACACTTCGACTTTCCCCCTGCCTTCTCTCTCCCTCGCCCCCCTTCTCGCCACTATAAATTCCGCAAACGCGCCCGCAAATCTCTCTTACGTTCTCGACTCCTGAGCCAGCTTCCGGGAACCAGTGGCTAGGCAGAGTGCTTGATGCGAGCCGGGAAGTCCTGTCAAGCTGTCGATAGACTGGGCGGTTGCGCGCTTGATCGCAACAACGGACTGTGGGGTCTGGGCCAACCGCGTCAAGTTTACGTCAGCGGGGTGACGATCGCAGTGGTGGGAGTTAGCACGCGACGGTCGGGATCGTCGGTGAGGGTATGA